CATGTTTGTTGACGAAACTTCACAGTTTATATATTTTGGCTAAGCTAAGAAATATATTTTTGTTGGGTTATGCTTTATATTCATGAGTTAATAAAGTAGCCTAATTTTCCATTTTCTATGTTTTGTTGGGCAAAAAAATCAATTTCAAATTATAAAAAATGGATGGATAAATAAATATGCATATATATATAATCCTTCCAATTTCAAATTACTATAAGATATATAATGACAATTATAAACTTTATTCTTCAATTTATTTCATTCCAGTACATCGGATTTTCATATGGTCATACCAATATTTTGGCATAACAACTGAGGTTATTTAAAAACACTCTAATTGTTTGAAAATTAACCTAACAGCTGAGGTTATTTCCCGGAGAAACACCAAGTTTATTACAATAATCTCTATAATACCCAATACGAGTCTGAACAGTGCCAGGATTCCCACCATTACATTCAAGTGCACCATTAATGGCTCGAATAGTTGCTCCAAAACCTTGGCTTACAACAGGACGGACATTGTTCATCCAAAACCACAAGGCTGTCTTGAATGACACAACAGGATCCCTTGCTACAATATCAGGATCGTTCAATCCATCAAAGTTGTTGCTCCTTCCGGCTGGCCCGTAGTTGTAGTTCCATGATAGTTGGATTGGTCCACGGCCATGGTATTTCTTGCCTGGAACGCATGGATATTGTCTGTTGTTTTCATCGCAGTAGTCAAGGGATGCACCGTTTATTTCTTCTTTATAGCAGAAGTCTGCAATATAAGACATTTTCTCTTGTCAGGATACACTAGTGGAGCTGAAACATATATTGATATTAAGAAAGGCCACTTACTTGACAAAATTACTTGGCCTTATCCTAGAAATTTTGAAATCGGTCGGAATCGAAAAGTTTAAAGGACCAGGAAGGTTACTTTTTATTCTATAATTGAACAAGTCATTGAAAAACAAAATGTTTATAGGGATGGAAGAGGAACTTACGTCCAGTCTCATGTGTGACATGAGCGAAGAAAGCTGCAATCTCACGCTTAGAAGCATCAGCGGAACCAAGTTTACCAAATTGAGGGTATGAATTGAGTGCACTGAGAAATGCATTTCTTGTATAGAAATTCTTCCCAGCACAACTTGCACCAGCTTGGCTGATTATGCTATTAAAGAAACTAGGTGTCACAATATCAGCTACAGAACCACCGCCGGTAGGTGTGCTCGGCGATGAGTAACAGGGCCCTTGTTTACATCCTTGGCCACAATAGGCGTTGCCAGTGCCACAGTAGCCAAATTGACTACAGCAGAGGTTTGCAGCACAGCCACAATTTTGAGCCTCCACCACTTCTCTGGGCAAGGCTCCTGCAAGGATTATGGCTAGGATAATAGTCAGTAGATTGCTTCTCATTTTGAGAATTGTTGAAAGAGAACACAATATTGTTTGTGATGTGGAAATAAGGCTGAGGTTACGCTATTTATAGAGGCACAAAGTGCATGAGGTATCTATATCTTATTAAATATCTAGACGGCCCAAACTTGCACAGTATCAAGGAATAATTAAAGTATATTTTCTTAATTAGTTTACTAACTAAGTTGGGATATGGAATTATTATTATTATCAAAACGTGACATTATCCATCATTATCCTTGTCATTGGCTTAGTCAGCCGGGGCTTCTTCCAGTGGAGTTTCCGACCAAGCAGTTCAAATTGAAATACGTTCTAGCGAGACTAGTAGAAACTTAATTAGTCTGCTAAATAAAAAGATTTATTTCTCGCGATATTGTTCAGGATTTGAATCCAAAAAAGCTCACGAAAAGTAATTTATTGTGAATATATTAGTTTCTTTGGGAATGCTTTGTTTAATACCAACCCAAAAAATATTAATTTCAATATACAAAAACTAATCCAATAATCAGTAGTATTAGAGATTAGCAGGATTTGGTCAAAATGGATAAACCAAATGGAATTAAAAAAAAACATATTAATTCAATTTGATTTTAATAGGTTTTGTGTATATCAAAATCTTATACAATTTGAATTTCTTTTATTGAGGTTTAGTTTTTTATTTTTTATCTCGTTCAATTTAAGAGTTCTACTCTTATAGTAATATTAGTAATATTGATTCAAGTCTTAATATACCACGTAAACACATATGATAAAATATAGCCAATAATAACTAAAAAAAACTAATAATTTAGAATTTAAATGACACAGATTGATTTATAACTCTAATAGTTTGAAAATAAATTTTATTCTTAAACTATACTTCAGTTAATATTTAACCTTTGGACTATGATAAATAATAAATAAAAAATACCATTTGCCTAAAAAAATAATAGTTTAAACTCTAAGCCAAAGTGACAGTATAAATCTTAAATTGTCGTAACTCAATGATTTAAAAATACACGAGGAGAGCTGCGATCGGTTGAGGTGGGAATTCAACTCTAGGGAAAGTGAGTAGTAATATTGTTCGCATTTAAGAAGCGGCAGTGCTAGATCGCTGAGATTAAGAGGAGATGAGAGAGAAAGGAAGGCGCAGGAGAAGGAGAAAGAGAGAGATGTTTTCGTATGGATTTGTTTTCAATCTTCTGGTTAAAAATTTTATTTTTGTATAATAAAAAAAAAATACTCTAAACATTAAAATTCAGTTTTACTTAAAAAAAAATTGAAACCGAAAACTGAATATAAATTTAATTTGGGCTCAATTAATTAAAAACCAAACTAAAATGTTTAAAAAAAAAAAACAAAAAACAAATGCTCGTTCTTGATTACCGTAACCATAAAAAAGAAAAAGAAAAAAAATATATATATTATCTAGACTTCAACGCGGAATTGGATAAGTATTGATCAATTCATTCTAACACTCATCGTGTTGATCAGAAGTAAAAGCTTAGAGTGTTTTTGACAAATTGGCGTTGAAGTTATCTAGAAACATTGATGGTATACCAAACTAGCTAAAGAAGAAACTTAGCAATTTTTCTAGCTTCTTTTGTGCTATTTTTAATTCGTTTATCGTATCCTTGACCATTTCAACAACGCGGCATGTAAAGACATAGGCCTACTAGTGCCATTTCATCATCTTGACTTACCATTTCAACAACATGGCATGTAAAGACATTAGATGTGGTTTGGTCATTAGAAACGAAAGTTTCGCACTAAAAATATCAAAATCAAAATAAAAATTAATAAATTATCAAATATCATAGTGCAGTGTTTTGTTATATAGTGCATCAGAATTATCAATTCATCCTATGAAGCAATCTTATTTTGACTTGGTAAGTTGGTATGTACTAATCAGTACTTACCAACTTCTCTCAAATCCTCTATAATATCATTTCCTCCCAAAATGAGCTTGATTTGCGTTGCTTGAATGACCTAAACAAAGCAACCGAAAATAGTTAGCCAATAGGAAAGCAAGGACGGCAAGTCACTAATTCCATTAGATCTCTATATTTAATCTTCATTCATATTAATAGCCTTTTTTATTATTATTATTATTCATCAGAGTACCATGGATCTATTGGCTTCATAATAGAGGTAGCTTTTCCCATTTTTCCCATTATATAATCAGGACTCAAACCTTATTTTACTAAAGAAATTAATTGAATACACAAACGTTTGATTAAATTTACTTGTATGTTGTAACAATATATTTAGTTAACAATAAATGTTAAGAAAAATGTCTTTAACTCATAGATTAAGAATTGATTTTCACTTTTGAAAAACTTCTTTTGTATTTCGTTAAATATGAACCGTTGATGGATTTAAAAATTTTATTTTTTAGGATTAATAAAAAATAGACATAATTTTGTATTAACTTATCTAAAAAAATGATGATTTTAGTTTTATTTGATGAAAAATTTAATCCAAACATATGTATATGGAGAGAGAGAGAGAGAGAACGGCTTTGAACTAAAATTGCGTTCAAGCTTTTGTCAGCAGAAATAAGGCATAATGTAATTGGGAAAGGCTGAACCAAACAAACTTGAGGCATGTGACATATTATTGGTTGACCATCTCATAAGACAGAAAATCTGGGATACTTGTCTGGACTTTCAAGTAGAAAAAATATATCAATCTCTCAAGTCATTATTGAATATACTCTTCAAGTTTGATTTTAGAGATGTGCAAATTTTTTGTAAAATAAATTATGAATTCAACTCTTAAAAGTTTTAAATGTACGAGTTAAAAAAAAAAAAAAAAAGAAGAAGTTGGAGCTAAAAAGATAGAAGAGCATATGAGTTCATGGGGTTTTCATGGGTTGCTGCAGGTAAATCAATATAGTATATTTTAATATTTTAAATAATTAAAAAATTAGTTATAAAATAAAATTTAATTGAAATTAATTGTGAGAATTTATTTATTTTAATATATATTAAGCAATATTTAATAAAATATTTATATTTCATGATTAAGTTTAAATATATCATATGAATATGTTTGATTTTAATAATAAAAAAAATATGCAATTGTTTAATTTTTCAAATGAAATTACAAGATGATGCTAAGTAAATTTATATTGAATGAGTATTTAATTTTAGCTAATAAGTCTATATTAAAAAAAATATATATTAACTCTTGAGGAAAAAGCTGGGCTCAACCATTAAAAGGAAAAAGAAAACATGAATTTTGTTGTCACTCAAACCAAGTTTAGGTACAGTTGGGTATAAAATTAAAAAAAAAAAAAAACATTTCCAGTCAGTGAAGAAGTCGTCCGCGAGGATTGGAGTGAATTAAACAAATTGGAAATTTTAGTAATTTTTGTTTGATTTTCTCCAATATTTCATCTTCGGCTTTGTCATTTATGATCTTCTTCGAAATGCATTAATCCCATGTCAATGTCATTATGTGAGAATTGGATGAAGCTAAATAAATCAACATTATTTTGTGCTTTTTGTTTAGTTTCTTCCAATATCTTTTGTATGACATTCACGCATAAATATGTGTAATACAAAAAAAAAAAAAAAAAAAAGGTTAGGGTTTGGATTTTAAAAATTCTTGTTCATTAACTACCTAGCATGTGGAGCCATATCTGTTTCAAGAACCAAGTTCATTTCAATGGAATCGCGCATTCTGGTCGACCCATTCTGTGTAAGTGTCCTTTCAGATGACACCTCCATGGCCAAACATTCCTTTAGCTCTATCAAAACATAACTCATGTCCGCCCTTTGTACTGCAGTTTGGGGCACGCATGACAATGCTACATCCAGAGCTTTCCAAGCACAAGTTGTGCTGAATTGACCTTGCAACCTTGGATCGATAATGCTCTGGATATCCCCGGTTTCAATTAGAGGACTGACCCATTGAAGGATGTGAGTGTTGCACTCATGGCCTCTTATCATAACAGGCTGACCAGTTATCAGCTCAAGTAGAAGAATACCAAAGCTGTAAACGTCACTCCTCTTATTTAAGTTTCCGGTTGCACGAAATCTGCATAGGTAACGTAATAATTAGGGTAGGATAATAAACACCATGAGATAAGATTAAGATTAGACTAATAAATTTACCCTACAAAACATAACGTTTGAACACTCACTCAGGATCAAGGTATCCGGGTGTGCCGGCAGGCCGAGTTGTGATATGTGAGTCTCTTTCAGTTGCAAAAGCTTTGGACAGCCCAAAATCAGCAATCTTAGCTTGAAAGTTTTCGGTCAATAAGATGTTGGATGTCTTCAAATCCCTATGGACTATTGGTGGCGTGCAACCGTTATGCAGATATTCCAAACCTGCAACTTCGCTGAAGCTAATTAGCGGAACAAAGTTAACGGAATGAAAATGAAGAAAAAAGATTGAAGTATTAAAATCAGACCTTGTGCTGCGTCTACTGCAATTTGAAGCCTTTCTCTCCAATTCAACAAATTTGTGCTCTTTTCTGAATCCAGAGAACATATTTAAAAAATAAACCATCTTTAGTGACACATAAAAGCTCATCACTGGATGGCAGAAACTGCACAGGCCAAAGGAAAGTTCTATCTGTAAACCACTTTGTGCCAAAATTAGAAGAATGTTGTGATTTGAAACTGCATAGCTTATGAGAATAGTTTTGTACCTACCGGATAAATGCTCGCGCAAGTTCCCATTAGCCATGTATTCATAAACAAGTGCCATGTTTCCATGCTCATCACAATAACCAATGAGGGAGACCAAATTTCTATGATGAACAATCATCAACAGTTGGAGCTGCATGTGCAAACACTACTCTGTCATGGCTGAACAGAAAATTGTTTGGTACACTTCTCATTTTCCTTTCAGTAATTGAGAAGTCTGACTGATTTCTAACCTCCGCAAGAAACTCCTTACAGCCTTGCTGCGATGATTGAGATAACAACTTGACAGCTACTTTAGTGCCATCTTTCAGGCTTCCAAGATATACTTTTCCAAATCCTCCTTCTCCAATAATGGTTCTGAAATTATTAGTAATGCTAACAATTTCAGCATATGTAAATGGCTGGTTCTTTGATTTCAGTGACCATCCCTCTCTGGATTTGGTTACTGTAGAAAATAATGACAAGTTCAACCTACCTGAAAAGGAATTTTTTATTTTTTTTGTAAGACAACGAATGTTTCTGTATCTCGACATGACTAAACTGTTAAAATCTTTTACTCAACTATCATATTTATGTCTTTAAATTTAAGACAAAACTATGTTAATGCTTACTGCCATGCTGAATTTTATGCTCATCTGCCTAGATACCAGAACAAAAAAAGGCATCCCAATTTGCATTATCACATCATAGTGGTAATATTGTTTCTGAAAAAGTCTGTTGTAGAACCCATGCCCAGCAATATTTTTTTGGCTGCTGTACTATTCGTTTAGAAGCCAAATTTATTGTTTCTTGGGAATCTAAACCAGAACTTGACAAATTTAGTGTTTTATTGAAATATCGGTGGATGAATTCAGAAATAGTAACAAAGTTGTGGCTTGTTATCCAAGTATAGCTAATAATGGAACTCTACAGCTTTCGGAAGTCTTAGAGGCACAATTATGGCACTGGTTATGTTAACCCAAGGCAAGGAACGTATAAAGCAACTTATAACCATAGATAATGATTTTCAGAGAGGCACGCAGAAAACACAAAGCATCTTCAAAGCAAAAATTCTATTCCATGTAATAAAATATGCAGATTGACGAAATAGGATGAGAGGTAATTAAGAGTTTACCTCCTCTTTTCAACCACCAGAAGATGGCTATGCTCAAAAGTAGAAGCACCAAAATTGATACAACTGATGCAATAACTGGAAGGCGAGAACTTTGCTTCTTTTTCGTGCATGGATCCATTTGGCATAAATCAGGATTTCCATCCAAACTGACAGTAAGAGAGATAATTTCAGATGTAACGTTGCATTAATGATCATATATGAGTGATGATAACCAATCAAATGATCATAGTTAGCTTTTGAAAGCTTAAGAAGATCACTGGGAAATATTTGAAGGATCTTATAGTCGTGTGATTCTTTAAACTCAGAATAACATGGAGAAAGACTGGATACACACACATATATATTTTGTTCTCTGGTTTCTCTTTGTTCCTTGACGTTTTCAATGTAAGAAAAAAAAATGTTTACACTTCATATGTAGAAAAGAAGTTAGACAAGAACCAAATGTGTAGAACGATTGTTCAATTAACGTGCTGATAAGCTGAAATGGACGAAGAAGATAATCAAACCTCAACTGAAACAGTCCATCGTTAGACTTTTCCTTGAGAGGCCGAGGAACTGTACCCGTGAAGCTGTTTCCGTTCAGATATCTGAAAATAGGATAAACAAAGTCACCAAGGTACTCTGTGTAAGAATTTCTTGTGGTAAATTTCGAAGCATGCTACTAACTTACAGGACAGTAAGGTTTGCCAGTTGTACGAAATCTTCTGGAACTGTCCCTATCAATCCATTGTTTGACAAATCCCTGAAAGAAAAGAAACAAAATTATGGACCAATCACCTTTGTAAAGAAATGGATGAAAGAATATGCAATGTTTGGGACAAAAGAAAGGCTGGTCTTCCACTGCTCTGAAGTATGGACACCCTTTTCTGCATCCTTGGTGAAGCCAGAATCCCAATTGTAGGCTCCACAAAAGGAACCTCTAGGGAGAGAGGATGTGCCGGGACCTTATAAACTGCCTAATCCCTCTACTCCTCTAAATCTTCTGGCTTCCATCATAAGAGAATGTCTCATCATAGGACTACAGTGCCTGCACTCTAATTTCAAGGGCCTCGATAGATTGTCCCAATGGGAAACAGTAAAATGATGAATGCCTGAAGTTGTTAAGAAATTCTGCTAAGCATTGACTGTAATTCTACTTTCCAATGCCAGAGAGTGAAGAACCTATGACATCTAGTGTCGACAGTATTGTTAAAGGAGTCATATCGTTTCGATTTTTGTAATCTTGCAATTGTGATTTCATAGTAAAATCGGTTACAAATTGGTAATTAATACTTACAAGGATTGGATTGCTGTGAGGTTCAAGAGTGAAACAGCTATCTTCCCTGTTAAATGACTTGAACTTAGATTCCTGCTCACAGTAATTAATTGAATATCAAAGTGGGTATACTTTATAGATAACTTCCAGAAAATATCCCAACAAAGTCTTATATCATTTTGGAGAAAACTCACAGAGAGATGATCCTTGGAGGATTATTATTGTTGCAGGTCAAACCAGTCCATGTAGTAATGGCCGGTAAACATGGATCACCTTGCCAGTCAGCTCTATCTATTCCGTATATTTTCTTGATGGCCATGATTGCATCAACTATGATCATTGAAGTAAAAGAGGTTAAGAAATGCAAATTTTTGTGACAATTTGCTAGGAATTGAACACAGATCGAGCGCACCTAACCACATATCCTGAACCCATTTTCCCTAGATAAATATATGCATGTTTGTTTCATCAATTCTTTTGTGCCCCAAATCATGATGATATAGCATCGTATGAAAATTCACGGAGCATTAATGCTTTCTTCTCTTTGCCTCCAACTTGTGAGTGCTAGATAGCTTAATTTGGCGAAAACATTAATTACTTTGCATTATACCAAGATTATACCAAGCAATCTGCCATTACTAAGGTTCCTCTATAGGAATCAGAGGGATTCCCGGAAACACAAAATCCTTCAATCCGGTATACTTCTCTACCAATTTGCCAATTACTACTGCCAGATGTAGCATGCTAACACCAGAACCTATACCAATCAACAGAGAATAGAAATGGAAAACATACCGTCTGCTTGGTTTGTAGGTGAATATGGGAGTGACAATACCATGAAAATCTCAAAGGCATTTAGGATAGGTGGAAGGTTAGATCGCGACGTTGCATCAATAGAAAAGGTAACATGATCTCCTTGAACTGGTGACTTATTAGGGTGTATGGTCAACGGCTTCAAGTATTCAAGGGTGAAAGGCCCGTATTTTATGCCATTCAAAGTAATGGTGAATTCTCGTACTTGGCCTTGTGCAATCTGCTCGATTTCAGCAAAGTGAAAGTAAACAAGAAACTTAGCACCATACGGATATGTATAGCTGTAGCTTAATGACTTAAAGCCTTTTCTCGGCCGGACTGCGGTTATTAACACTTCGACTGGTAGACGGTAGGGATCATCACTGCCCTGGATGTCAATGTTTGCTGTGGTGCTAATTGGAACTGAATTAGAGAGGTTGTAATATTGCCACCAGATGCAATCATACACATCATCTTTGTACCTAAGTGCATGTCAGGGAAAATAACACAAGGATTAACGGAGTGAGATTCTCAAATTACTTTTAATATGGCTTATTCGCTTACAAATTTCCTATTTTTGATGTTCTTTGGTTCCAAGTAAAATGTTGGACATGCTAGAGAGTCATAGAATCAAGAGACAGCATAGAAGATTATATAAAGACAATTGCAAGCATTATTTCAATTCAAAAACTTAAAAAGTTAAATTGTTAGATGAGATTAAAAATAATTTTATATTAATTTCTATCACTTTAGATTTAGATTTTCAATAAGAAGATCTATCAAAAAATTGTCAACATAGAATGCAATTATATTCCTTTCTGCGTTGCAAATTTAAAACCCCATTCACATAATGTGAATATTTTCCCTTCCTTTATGGTTTTTTTTTTTTAATAAACCGAGATAATTTCATTAAAGTGGAAAAACTCACTATTACAACAAACACCATGCCAAAGTAAAGGTTAAAAGCAAGAGAGTAGCTAATGGGCAAGCCACAACTACTAACACAAGCCAAACAACCTAAGCAGAAACTGAAAAACTATACGACTATACACCATGGACGAAATCACTCATCCAAGCAAACCTTAACAATTGATGATAAACCCTCCATGGATCCAAAAACCCAAGGCTTCTTCTAAGGATAGTGTATAAGTTTGATTTCTCTCTAAAATTAATAAATAATTTAGTTATTTTTATTATATACTAATCCATATTAGTTTTTTTGGTTCTAGCAAGGATCCAAATTGCACATCAAAAGAATTGACGATGGGCTTCAGCCTAGTACAAGTTTGGACTATAAAAGGATGGACATATATATTGTGACATGGCCAATGTTCATGTTTTGTTTTTGGAATGTATTAGTGAAATTGGCTTGGTAGACTAAGAACAAAGTCTACCGAAGGAAGATCCAATTGTTATTTTTTTTAGTCTTAACTAGCAAGTTGAACCAATTTAGTCTAAAAAAAATTAGTTTATTTGTCTAACTCGAACCCAACCATCTAAACATGGAAGATGTGGTGCAATCCTAGTGACTTTGATCCCTCATCCACCTGTCACTTGACTTGTATCTTGCTAACATTGTCTGCTCTTCTTCTTACATCTCTCACTACTTGTATCCATTCTTCTAAATTGTTAGATTATTACTTCAATAAGTCACAATACTATCTCTCTATATCTCAACTAGTTTGATGATCAGTTGTTTGATCAATTCTAAAAACTTTCCCCACTCAAATAGTGACCATAACAACACCAACACCAAACACTTAAAGGTTATCTTAAAAGTATAAAACCTTTTTGCAAACTTTTGAATTATTGATCTTTTGCACAATTTTTACTATTCAAAACTCCCTCTCTTAAAACTCTCCCACTCACTCATCCTCAAAACTTCTAAAACTCCATCCATTTAAACTTTAATCGCTCACTCACCCGCCACTCAATATGCATCTTGCTGCCATTACTTGTTCTTCTTTCCATATCTCTCACTATTTACCTCAATTCTTTTGAGTTGATGGATCGTTACTTCAATAAGTCACAATACTAGCTATTTATATCTCGATAAATCTAATGACTAGTCGTTTGATCTATTCTAAAAAACTTCCCCACATATATAGCAACCACAACAATACCAACACCAAACTCATAAATGTCTATCTTAAAGATATTTACTCCTTTTGCAAACTTTTGAATTGTTGATCTTTTGCACAAATTTTGCTATTTAGAACTACTTCTCTCAAAACTCTCCTACTCACTCATCCTCACAAGTCTCAAATCTCCATTTATTTAAACTTTGACTACTCACCTACCTCGCTACTTAATACGCATCTTGCTGGAATTGCATGGTCTTCTTTTCATATCTTTCACAACTTCCATCTTTTTTTCTTTTTTTTTGAATTGTTGGACCATTATTTTAATAAATCACAATACTAGTTTTTTATATCTCGACTCGATCTAATGACTATTCATTTGGTCCGTTCTAAAAAACCCTCCTCATAAATAGCGACCATAACAACACTAGCTAGCACCAAACACTTAAAGGTCATCTTAAAGATATATAAAAAGATAATAATAATAATAATAATAATTTGATGAGAATTTTTATAATAAATAATAAATTTAAGAGATTAATTTTAAGTAATAAGTAAAATATAATCCGATATATGTGTTTATTCTAAAATTTAAAAAACATGAGAGACCAAAAACATCAAGAACCAAAAATATATTTTGAAACCAAAAATGGACTAAATTAAAAACATGAGGTGTCAAAATATTTTTTTTTAAATGCCGATTTAAAAATATATTTTGAAAAAAATAAAGAACCAAAAAGGAATAAAGGATAAAATTTGTAAATGAATACCTAAAAACTATTGAAAATCACGAAAATGCAATTATCAATAATTATAAAAATCCGTCACCCATAAACAGTAAATAAATAGTGATTGGGGAAGGCGAATAAATAAATAAATAAATAATCTGGTGATCAATATTATTTTGCATAATTTATCGAAAATGAAAATATATAGGGCAATTTATTACCTGATTGAGTTTTGGGTTGGATCACCGCCGAGGTCGGCTTTCACTAGAGAAGCCAAAGATAATCCAGTCTCAATTCTATATGTGGAATCGTTTAAAGACCTTAAATCCAATCCTGAGATGAAAGGAACTCCGAAACCAGTGTTTATGAGACACACATGAATGGTATCGGTTAAAGAATATTGAATAATACCATAATATCCCCACAGCCGATCATTCACCACTGATGTCCAATAGTTAACCCCGAGATATAGATCAAACCTTTGAGACTGATTCTTAAAATCATAATTTCCATAGTAGACGAAAACTCTGATGTAATAGTTATGGTTTTTGCCTTGCTTGGGTTTCAAGGTATAACAATTCCTCTTTCCTTCTGGAAACATTCTCAAGCTATTCAACTGCCTCCCAACATAAGGAAGGTTCGAGATGTACTCTGGCGCTACAATCCTATTTGTACCTGTGCTAATGAAATCTTTGTCAGACTTGTAAAATATTCCGGTCAGCCCATCGAGATAATCATCGTCCGCCCCACAATCAATGCTGATGAAACCTTCAAATTTGCCCAGAAAAATTAGTCAAACAATTAAATTGATTATATATATATATAAGCCTTGATTCATAATTAATACCCACTTTATATATATATATATATATATATACTTTTCCCAAAAGATTCTATATTGCTACTGGATTTATATTTGATCATTGCTGAATTGTAAAGTGTAAGGTGGTTATAATTTTTCTTAGTTAAAGTATTCTTTTCTTATTATTATTATTTGTGCTTACAAATAAAACCTATTCTCCTAAAAATATAGTCTTTTTTTTTTGTTCTTGATCGTATTATTTATTATTTTTTCGTCTTAAATTCATACCTCTATTTTGGGTTTATATTATAAATTTGTCTATTCGATAACTTTTTGAACTAATGGTGTTAAATCATATCGTTAACTTCTCATGATTGTGACCCATATCGATCTTTTTTTTTTTTAATCTTAATCTCATCCGTTTGCTCCTTTTTTAATAAAAAATAAAAAAAATAAAAAAAATGAAGATAAAAATATATTTTTATCTATAATAATCTTTATGTGTTTACATTTATCTACATGATAGTAAGCAAAATTTGAGTATATATATATATATTAAGAGAGTTTTGGTTAAAATTTTAAACTTTTGAATGATATTTATAATTTTATAATATCTTGAAAGAGTCTATCATAATGTACTTATTTTCATTTTACAAATTTTTTAATTCTACTCAAAAGTAGGAATGTAAAATTATAAATATCATTTAAAAGTTTAACTTAAACTCTCTTGGCATTTAAAAAAATACTATAAATTTTTTATTTTAAACTTAAAAATTTAATTATTATCGTAAAGATAAATTTAAAACCATAAAAAAATTTAAATAAAAATATATTTTTTATCTTTATCTTCTTTTTTTTTTTCACTGAAAAAAGAGTGGAGGGACTAGATTAAGACAAAAAAAAAAAAAAAAGACATGTATTGCAATCACGTGGAGTTAAAGTTAGAATTTAACACTATTATCTAAAAAATTAACCGAATGAACAAAATTTTTTTTTAAAAAAAAAACATAGAACGAAAACGCGGGACAAGTTTAATCCAAAATACTAATAATAATAATAATAATAAAGGAATAAAATTAAGATGAAAAAAAAGAACAGAAAGATTTTTAAAACCATTATCCCACTTAATTTTAAATGGGTATCAAACTGTTGATTTTGTTTCCGAGGTGAATTTAAAAGAGCAAGTTGTTAAAGAAAAAAAGAAGAAAATTTCAATAATAAACGTATTGCAACTTGCAAGTATGACAAACAATTGAAATAAGGTTGGAGTAAGCCACAAGTAATCTTTTCTGTCACGAAACAAAATATTATACCAGATTTGTGATCCAGCATTCTAGATTTGACCTATAGCTAGACTTGAAATACCTGGGTTTTCGGTACTGGCGAACTTTCTTCTTTGAATATGCTCAATATTTTCGGCAGCTAGTTTTGAGTTCCGAAACGCAGTAGGGAGCAAAAGGAGTGCGACCCATACTTTCGAATACAAAAGCAGTACTTTCCCATCATCCATCTTAGCTAGTCTTGTTCGGACAATTTTAGCGTGGATAGTGAGGGAGTTTTGAAAGAGAAGTTGTCATGAGCTAATATTGTAATTTGAAGTGTCAAGCATGGAAGGAGAGAATATATAGCTCAAGTTTAAATACTATAAATCTTGGGTTAAATAACACGCTTATTAAGACACAATTTATTTAAGATGTTGATTACAGTGAAAAAAATTTTTGAATGTGGTATGTAAAAAACACAAAAGCCTGAGTAGTTGTTTTGTCTTGTATATCTAATAAAATAATAAAAAATTAATTTAAATTTTTAAATTTGGGAATTAAAAAAAAAAACCAAAATTAAAACGCAACTTCCGCCGCAAACTTTACCTGTGAGTAACGAAAAGGCAACCCCATCTTTTCATGGACCGCTGTGCAGCAAATACCGACGACGACAAAAAAGTCATACGGGCTACTGCGCTTCGAAATAAAACCAAGATTCATTGCTTGACTTGAAAATAATGTATGAATCACCTTTTCCACAATTTATCAACAATGAAAGGACGTCTTGAAATTGTCCCAGAAAGATTTTATTGTAATGACTCATTTAAAATGTTCCATCAAATAGGTAAAATCTATCTCAAACTTTAATTAACTCATTTAAAATTGATTGATTGAACTTTAAATTTGGTGTTGGGATTTTTGAGATTTAATTCATCCTTTTGTTTTCTATTATTTATCTTAAAAATAAAAAAATTATTTAAATAGTTTCATCAAATAAATCATTCAAGTGAGATTAATATGAAATTCTTCAAAAAATTTTGAGATTATTTTTTAGTCATTTTTTATTTTTTATTTTTTTATATTTTTAATGTTAAAAAAATATATTTTTTAATTTTAAAAAATTTTAATATTTTTTTATAAAATAGATTGGATTTTTTTCAACGCATATACAAAATTTCAATTCAAAATATTAAGAATTGATTTTTCTTAAAAAAAATATAGCTAAAAATTATTTGATCGACTAAATCTCAAAAAATAAAAAATTAAAAAATTGAATGAACTTAATTTCAAATAAGTCAAAGTTAAAAAAAATTTTGATCCATTTAACCAAGTTTTGCCATATCAAGCCAAAATTACAATTTTTGCCACATGAAAATCGAGAGCTGCTAGAACTAGGAAATTCTAGTTTGTGACTAAAAAGATTGGCCGTATGTGCGTGATTGAAGTGGTGGGCCAAATGCATGTAGTTCGGTCACACCTTGCCTACAGCTTGCGTTGGCATTTATCTCTATAAAAGACAGATTTTTACTCAACAAAACATAACCCTGCATTTGGGTTTACTTTGAATGTAGACGCGTGCGATGACTGGAGACTGAGGAGAAATTTAGCACTCATCCATTCTCGCCTTTGTTCCCTCAACGTATTACGATCCATGGTTTGAATCTTAAAATAAGATTGTAAGAAAATAATTTTTCATAATCACATCAATTCAAAACGTGGATAACTTATTTAAGATTGAATTAAAGACGTATTTAATATTAGTGCCTTGTTGAATCTTAAAAAATTAGATGATTTTAAATACGCATTCTCTATATCGGTTTAATACATTCAAAAGAATTTTAATAAAATTTTTTCTATGTTTTCTTCAAAATTTGAGTTCAAAAAATTAAGAAATTTAGTGATAGAGTCTGAGAAAGCTCATCAATAAAAGAAGATGGTGTGGCTCTTTATTGCTGAAAATAGGCAACATAGATTGGTTGCATGCATTGCTTTCTTTTGCACTGCGTACCTGCAAAATCAATCCTTTAGATGGGTTGAGAGACCCTCAAGTCAATAACTAGAGAGAGAATGGTCTGATTAGGCTTTACAGAATGTGTTTTAGAGACAATAAAATATTTCTAAAGCGTAGAGAGTTTTCTATTTAAAATTAGAAACTTGAAATCCTTAATAGTTAGGACTCTTATATAGGCAGTATTTTGGAGAGTTGCATGATCGGAAGGGCAGGATCATCCATTCCATTAATACCGACAGCTTTATATGACGATCTTGGATGGTTTATGCATATGATGGGCTCATTCCTTGACGACACCTCTATGGTCATGATGAGTGCTGATTAGATAGGGAAACACTGTACTGATAAGAGTTACAATGTTTCCCTTGAAGTAATTGTTGCTTTGAAGGATCCTATGTGTGGCATGCATGCCTAACCGGGCATGTGTCCTTCGAGCTTTGATAAAAGAGTGACACATGTCATCTGAACCCATCAGTAGCCTTCATCCTCTCAAGTCTTGGCAAGCATGCTTGGCTTAGACTAAAGTAATTTGTCCGTCTTTAGAGTGCTGCCCCTTCTTGTGATAAATGACAGGAGCCAAAGCAAAATTCAAATAGATGGGCTACAACATGAAAAAGCCACACATGGGCTCACACAAGACAAACCGGGCCAAGAAAGGAAATAGTCCAATTTTTGGTCTTCCGAAGCTCGGCCCAACATTCATCTTCTCTTCCTGGCCGCTCAAATGGAAAAGATTCCCTCCCCGCAAATGCTCTCCTTTTTTTTTTCGCGGTAGTTTAAAATCGGTTTGTTATTTCTTGAAACATCTCTCTCGTGAGGCTAACATCTTGCTTCTAGATGTTTCTACTACTCGAGTCGTAACAACAATAACCAACCGTACTTGCCTATAAATAGGCACTTCTTCGTCTCTCGCAAAGTGAGCAAAAATATACAAACATTTTTCTCCATTCATCATGGTATCGAGCAATACCTTCCTTTAATCAAATCTTCCGTTAAGCTTTACGTGGTTTTTTTTTCTTTTTCTCTCGTTTTCTTTAGAGTGTTGATGTTTTTCCCTTTCAATCTTCCATCATGTCGGGAAATACTTCTTATGCAAATGTTACTGGAAACCAAAATCATACAACCATAAGGCCAAAAGAACAAACGAGCAAGCCCTTATTACCTACATCCAAATGAAAACCCCTGCTCTCATCTTAGTCTCTTCTCCTTTGACTGGAGCAAACTACCATTCCCGGTCCGGATCTATGAGAATGGCTCTCTTGTCCAAAAACAAATTGAAGTTCATTGATGGCACCATTGCCATGCCACCCAAAGATGATCCAAGCTATGTGTACCGACGGAGGTGCAATACAATGGTCCTATCCCGGTTGATGAGATCATTGTCAAACTCCATAACTCAAAGTGTAATATGGTTAGACTCGGCTTCGGAGGTATGGAAAGACTTAAAGGAAAGATTTTCTCGAGCGGATTGCTTTCGTATATCGGACCTACAAGAAGAAATCTATAACTTTCGACAAGGTACTCTCAACATATCGGACTATTACACTCATTTAAAAATGTTATGGGATGAGTTTTTTAACTTGAGACCCCTTCCAAAATGCAAATGTGAGCCACAATGCACTTGTGATTCACTCAAAATTGTCAAATCATACCGGGATAGTGATTGTGTCATAAGGTTTCTAAGAGGACTCAATGAATCCTACTCTACTCGTGAAATCTTAAATCATGTTGATGGATCCTTTACCGGACATTAAAAAGGTTTTTTCCATGGTTGCACAACATGAAAGACAACTATATAACACTCACAAAATTTCATACCAAACCAACTCCCTTGAACCTCAAGCCTACTTTGCCAAAACAGACACCGAAGACCCTTCCAACGGAATAAAAAACCCATATGCACCTACTGCAATAACCCCGGTCACATGGAAGACAAATGTTACGAGAAGCATGGCTTCCCGCCTAACTTCTCACCCATCTCTCGAACAAATCAACATTCATCCAGGGATTATACCAAAGCAAGATTCAAAGCGGCTCATCAAGTGGAAACTCACCTTGCTCCAGCCTTCTAAAATGAGACACCGAGTCTCCATTTCCACCACGAACCCGATGCGGCAAACACCGGTTTCACCCTCACTCAAAAGCAATACAGATCAATTGATGAACTCGTTACACCAAAATTCAGAACCAAAGAATAGCCCAACACACACTTCTCAAATCAACACCGTTTCCAATGACGATCAAGGTATAAACTCACCTATTTCATTTTCTTCTCTATGGTCATCCACATGGCTCCTTGATTACGGTGCCACGGATCATATTGTTTGCAATCTTCGTTTACTTTCCAATCTTGTGCTCGTAAAGGAAGTCATAGTAAGGCTCCCCAATGGCCAATATATACCGTTACACATATAGGAACAGTTAACATCTCATCTATTATTTTAACCAATGTTCTATACATTCCAACTTTTTCTTTCAATCTCATTTCCATTAGCAAACTCACACATTCATCCCACTCGCTAACTAACTTTCACTTCTCATTCATGCATTATCCAGGATCTTCACTCCTTGAAGACGATTGGTTTTGCTAGACAAACCAACGACTTATATTATCTTTCACCACCATCTCCTATCAACTCTTCATCTCTCTGCAGTGTCACATCTCAACAACATAGCCTATGGCATCAAAGACTAGGACATCTCTCCAATAATAGACTGCAAATGTTATCTACTATTCATCCTAGTATTCCTTTCCATAATGTTACACAATGTGATGTTTGTCATTTCGCTAAACAAAAAACGATCATCTTTTCAGCTCAAGTAATTCCCTTGCAAAATCTTGTTTTGATTTAATACACATTGACATTTGGGGACCTTACCATACTCCTTCTTTATATGACTATCGTTACTTCCTAACCATTGTGGATGATCATAGTAGAATGACTTGGATATACATGATGAAATCCAAATCCGAAACTAGGCAACACATTAAATTTTTTTTGCCTATGCTCTGAAAGACAGTTCAACTAGCACATCAAGTGTATCGAAGTGACTAAGGCCTAGAGTTCTCTATGACTGATTTTTTTCATGAAAAAGGAATTATCCATGAGACCAGTTGCATAGAAACTCCTCAACAAAATGGAAGAGTCGAAAGGAAACATCAACACATACTAAATGTTGCTAGAGCATTGAAAATTCAAGCTAATCTCCCCACCAAATTTTGGGCAGTACCGTGTTCTACATGCGGTATTCCTCATCAACCGCATACCCTCTCCGATACTCTCTCAACAATCCCCTTATTTTGTTATGTTTAGAACTAACCCCGATTTGTCTTCTTTGAAAGTATTTGGCTCTCTCTGTTTTGCTTCAACAAAACAAGCATTCGAGATAAATTTGACACAAGAGCCGGAAGATGTATTTTTCTTGGTTTTTCCGCAAGTACAAAAGGTTACAAAGTCTTTGATCTAGACTCACAGGAATCATTCCTATCCGGAGATCTCATTTTTTATGAAAATCATTTCCCCTTCCAACACTTACCACCGGAGACCACCATCCCCACTCCCATTCCGCCCCTCATACATCCTACCCCTCCCTATGACTCCATTACCACCCCTCCCCCATCACCACCAACTTCTCTCTCACAACAACCTCCACCTCGGCGCTCCACCGGAACATCCAAACCTCCTTCTCACCTCCATAACTATGAATGTCCTACCATTAATCATACCTCCCCACACACCCTCTCCCACGTTCTCTCCTATCACAATCTTTCTCCCACACATTACACCTTCTCCACTACCCTCACATCATTCACTGAACCAAAAACTTACAAACAAGCTATGCAACATCAAGAGTGGATCGACGCCACACAAGCGGAATTAAATGCTTTACAAGAAAATGACACTTGGGAACTTACATTTCTTCCATCCGGGAAGACCGCCATTGCTCGCAAATGGGTCTATCGACTTAAATTCAACACCAATGGCACCTTGCAACGATGTAAAGGTCGCTTGGTTGCCAAGGGTTTCACTCGACAGGTCGGCCTCGACTACACGAAACATTTTCTCCGGTTGCCAAACCTACCACAATTCGTGCTTTGTTAGCCCCGATCGCCTCCCAAAACTAGCATCTCCATCGGTTAGACATCAATAATGCCTTCCTTCATGGTGATCTTCATGAAGAAGTCTACATGCAGCCTCCTCCCGGTCTACCTCTCGCCTCATCCCGATCTTGTTTGTCGTCTCAGAAGAGCCTCTATGGGCTCAAGCAGGCTAGCGAGACAATGGTATGCTAAGCTCTCCTCCGCCCTTCTCTTTGATGGCTTCGATCAGTCCAATTCGGACCCCTCTATGTTCATGAAGCGTTGTGCCTCCGGTTTCATCATACTCCTAGTCTATGTTGATGATGTTCCGTTGGTCGGCAATGCTATCTCCCTCATCAACCACACCAAGAAATACCTTGATGATACATTCAAGATCAAGGATCTCGGTCAAGCTAAGTTTTTCCCGGGTCTTGAACCGGCCGGATCCTCTCGTTGGCATTAATCTCTCTCAAAGAAAGTACACCCTCGACTTGCTTCAAGAACCGGTTTTCCGCATTCCAAACCTCTTTCCACTCCTATGTCACCTACTACATGTATCAC